TCAAAAAAATTATAATTTATTTTTCTAGCTTTCTAAGAGATCTTTAATATATATATATAATTTGAAATGTATTTGGGGAAAACAGCATGGCATAGGGGATCTGGCCGAAGTTCCCATCAGTATTAATTGAGTTCCTTCACAACTGACAGGATCAATTTTTCATTTTTAAAGGGCCACTCTGGTGGCTCTGTGGATCAGAGTGGGGAGACTGAGGACAGGAAGAGGAGTAGTTCTACAATATCAGTGCACATGAACAAAGGATGAAATCTGGTTGCCTAGGGCCATGTCCAATCCCCTGCCGTGACATGGGACATACTTATCCTCTGTGGCCTGGGAAGCTGAAGAGGAGAAGAAGGGCTGGCATATATGTTGGGTAGAGTAGAAAGCTCCATTTGGGCACAAGTACCTGAAATACATCCAAATGACGTCCAGTTGAAATCCCGGAACAGTCCTTCTAAATTCTAGGAGAATGTTCTTGGCTAAAGGCTTCGATTTGGAATCTGTATTGTTTGCTAAGGCCACAGTAACAAGTGTCACAGATGAAGTGGCTTAAACAACAGAAGCATATTGGCTCCCAATTCTGGAGACTAAAAACCCCAAATCAGGACACTGGCAGGCTTGGTTCCCCCTGAGGACTGTGTGGGAAGAATCTGGTCCATACTTCCCTCCTTGGCTTGTAGATGACGTCTTCCCCCCACCTCGTATCACTTCCTGTCGTCTTACCTCTATGTATATCTCTATGTCCAAATTTCCCATTGTTATAAGGACACTAGTCATATAGGATGAGGGATCACTCCAATGGCACCATTTTAATTTGGTAACCTCTGTGAAGACCCTATATCCAAACAAGGTCACTGTCTAAGTTACTAAGAATAGAACTTCAATTTACAAATCTGTGGGAGAGGGGTACAATTCAGTCCACAACAGAATTCTTAGCATATAGTTGCAACCTGGGAAATAGAGGTGATTATAGGGCATAATTATTATTTTTTTTTTACTATCACAGATAGACAGTACCTCCTTTCCCCCAAACACATAAAAACGTGCCAGTGTTAGTTTGTTTTCCTACGTGAGCCTATGAAGCTTTTGGTCTGCAGTTAGAAGGGCTTTTACTAAGTGAAGTGGAATCCAGGGGGAAAAAAGGGGGTGGGAGGGGATGGTACCACATATGTTTCTTATTTAAATTCTATAGACGGTGACTGAGCCCCTATGGTTAGAGTATAAAAGCCAGTCACGGATGGAAACCAGTTATGAAGCACATTGCAAAAGTCTGCACATGAGCCATGCTGCTCTAGAGTCAATGTGACAAAACTTGGCACCAAGTTGAGGGATTCTTTCCTCTGTGATTTCTGTACCATTCAAGGATTGGGACATGGACACCAGCATTATCACCCAACATAATGTATTAGTCAGCTCCACATCACTGTAACAAAATACCTGATACCGGCTACTTATAAAGACAAGACTTTATTTTGGCTCACAGTTCTGGAGTTTTATGTCCAAGATCAGGCAACCCCCATGGGTTTGGGCCTCTGGCAAGAGCAGCATGCCATGGCAGGAGCCTGTGTCAGAGCAAGCAGTCACATCTTGAGCCAGGAAGCAGAACAAGGGAGAAGAAGAAACAGATACACACAGTCCCTAGAAGGTGCTCCTCTAGTAACCCAAGCAATTCCCACGAATCTCCACCTTTTGCAGGTCCTGCCATTTCCTAATAATGTACCCTGAGACCACGCCTTTAACAGGAGGACCTTTGATAGACATTCAATATCCAAACCATAGCAGTCAATAACATGCCTTAGCGACGCAATACTTCTCCAAACAGCTTGGTAGGCAACAAGTAGAACCAGAGCAAGAGAGGAAGAACAGAATGAATGCCACTTGGTACCTGCAAGGCTTATTTTTGTGAACATACAAGTTCACACAAGTTCAAATTGCAAGGACCAATCTATGGGTCAGTCATGATAAGAAGCACAGACCTGAGACAGAGGATCAAATTTACACAGTACAAAGGCAAGTCCTTTGTAAAGCCCTTACCTGGGAAGAATCTTTCAAGGCAGAGCTGTCCAGTACAATGATGCTCTACTGCTCCATGGCTTCCCTCAAAGACTTCAGCCTTGATATTGAATAAACAAGCCACCCCTCGGAGATTGGCCATTTGGGGATCAGAGAACCCACTACACTCTTAAAATGTGAAATCACTTTTACATTTTATAGCCATTTTCAGAATTGAAAAAAAAAAGAGGATATTATATCTCAAAAGAGTTCTTGAGATACTGATATTACAAACAACTCGTAAGGCAATCGGGTGGGGGGACAAGAAGAGAATATAATGAATTCTATAAAAGAATTCTTGCTAGCCACCCTACTGCTCCCCCATTTTGTGTCTTTTGAGTCACATGATGAAATGTCACCCGGCACGTTTGGGAGTCCGAAGAAGGGATTAACTAATGAATCATTAATTTTCATTTTCTGGGGATTTCATTTGTGATCCTTCTTTTTTTAGTTTTTTAGAAGATCCTATCAGGCAGTATTTAAGAGAATTGTCAGAGAAATGTATGCTGCCAATGAACTGGATGACGATCTTAACATCCCCCTGACTCTGATGATGGAAACTGAAAACAGAAGGAAGCTGGGGATGCTGTGAGTAACTGCGGAGGTGGGATTGGTGGTCTGTGGGTTTGGGGAGACAGGCGGTGACGGCAGGCAAAGTTGTAAATGGAACCACCAGGGGAGAGAGCAGAGCCTGGCAGGGAAAGCAGGCCCAGGCCAGGTACAAGAGCCACGGTGAGACCCAGGGGTCAGACAGACACAGCGATCATCCAGCTGCCAGACCAAAGTGAAAGCTCAAGAGCAAGGAAATCACAAACATGGGAGGCACGGGATAGGAGCAAAGCCAGGGGCAGAGGTTGGAAATCCAGAGCAAGAAGGGTCGTTTAAGAAAAAATGAACTTGAACAAGAGTCTAGGGAATGAGACTCAGATTCCTTTTAAAAGAGGGGGTGAGAGTTGTCAAGATGCTGAGCATCTCCCCAACAAGTTCCCTGGCTTCGTCCTAGGCTGGCCGACGCTTTGCTTGGCTTTCTCAAGGAGGGAGAGCTATGAGCATCACTGAACTGGGGGTCACACCAGAGCCTCAGACCGTGACGTGGGGAATGAGAGGGTTCTTGCAAACCTGTTGCTGGCACCAGCTCTTTCTTGCTGGCAAGGCTCCAGTTCCCAAATATTCCAGTATCTCATGTATACATCCAGCCTGTGGTACGATATGTCCTCTCAGCATAGACACCTGGGTTTACTCTTATCCACTGTCAAATATCTGGAGGAGCAAGGGGTGTGTGTGTGTGTGCGTGTGTGCGTGTGTGTGTGTGGCGGTGGGAAATGGGGATGGAGGACCCATGGGTTTGTGGCTGACTCTCCAGCAGTGGTACCAAACACAGGCTGAGGAAACAGGTCCCCTCCATAATCACTGTAGCAAGTTCCATCATTGACCAATCAGGAAGAAACTGACTGCCAGCAACTTCCGTTTGGGGCTCAGTAGTCATGGGCAACAGATCCTCCAGGCTTCTCCAGAAAAGGGGAAGGCAAAGGAACAGAGCCAAACACAAAGATCTCCCAAGAGCCAAACACAAAGCTCTCCCAAGCTCTCAGATCAGCAAAAGCAAATACCAGATAGCATCTGGGTAAATCATCCTGCCGCCTCGGTTCCATCTCTTCCCCTTTCTTCCCATTGTAGCCTATAACAGAAGCTCATTTCAACCTGACTGTGCTCAACAAATATTTCCCCTGGGCTGTGGGGATACAGTCATGTGTACCTCACAGCCTCACATTCTGGGGGATTCCACTTACTTGCAAAATATGAAAGGAGGAACATCCAGCCATTACAGAAAGGGCCTTGGAGCCTCTGGCTGGATCCCTTCACTAGAGTTTAGCACTTGTCTGCATTTGGCATCCTGCTCACAGGCTTCCACCTCGCCACACTCTGTGTGCCTTATTTTTTCCACAGGTGCCAGTTGGCAGAAATTGCTTGGATTCGGATTAGAGAGCTTACAAGTCAGACCAATAACATTCTGAACAAATGGGCCACCAAGATGTCATTGTTCTTTGTTCCCCCACAGCTGCTTGTGTATAAATAGTAACCCTCTGCTCTCTGCTAGGTGACATAGTGTGACCCTTGCCATCAAAGGATGTTTGCTCACTGAGGTTGCTCTGGGTTTAATTTTTATTTCTCTTCGGGGACTTAAAACCTGTCAGGTCAACAGCCTCCTTTTCAGTTCCATTTAAGCTTGGGAACCTCACTCTTTCTGACACCTTTCCTTTCAAACAAACTCAGATCTGAGAACCAGGAAACCCAGCTGCCCTGGAGACCACCCTTATTTGAGGGCCCTTTTTTAAAAAATATATATATTTTATTTAGAGACAGAGTCTTGCTAAGTTGCTTTGGGCCTCACTAAGTTGCTGCAGCTGGCTTTCAACTTGCGATCCTCCTGCCTCTGCCTCCCAAGTTGTGCCACCATGCTCGGCTTCAAGATAATCCTTGTTGAATTCTTTTTCAAGGGTTTGGGGGTCAGCCCATGTGCCCAGGATGAAAATCAGTAAGCCACCAGGCGGGAAGAACAGAACGGAGGCCAAAGGCCAACCTTTTATTCCTGAACATGGACTGGAAGGAAAGCTGGGTCAGACAGCAGAGCCAGTGGCTCAACTTCCCTCACCCCCACCCACCCTGATATAAAAGATTCCACAGGCTCTAGCCCCGCCAGCTCTGCGCATCATGACATGTACATTCAGTCACGGTTTTCAAAGAGGATTCATGTTCCCTTTAGGTTGAAGGCAAATTTTGAAGCATTGGAAGACCCAATCATATGGCTTATGAAGAGACATGAAGGTAAGCACCAGACTACCAGTCTCTCCCCGTGTCCAGTCTCTGCCATCTAGTTGCCTTGTAAAGGAGGCAGAAATGCTTGTTTACTCAAGTACCGACTGGGCTAGCAAAGTCGGAGCTGCAGGGAACAAAATATCAAGCAAGATAGACACAGTCTAGGACCGGTGGACCGCCTGAAACCCTTGGAGGAAGGGGACAGACAAGCAAGTGGGGAATATAATGGTTAAGTCCTATGACGGGTAGGGATGCTCTGAAGCACAGGGAGGGGCATCTAACCCAGATTTGGGGGAAAGGGTCTCCACTTGTGGGACCCAGCTGTTCAGACATGGCTGATCATGGAGGTTACCAGGTTTGTGGGTTGAATCATGCAAAGTTTGGGTCAGACTGCTTAACTGAGGAACCTCAAACCACAATATGGAGTATCTTTCAGAAAAACCAGAGAAAGCTAACACAGAAAGGGTGGTGGTACCCACGAGAGAGACAGCCAATCATCCATGGTCCTCTTTCCTCTGAGTCATGTCACACCCTCAGATTCCCTCTCAAGAGAGCGCTCTATCCCCTAATAGTAGCATGTGTCCCAAATCTTAAGGAATAACCCCTGTGGGCTAAGTACTTGCATATGCAATGTCTGATTCAAAGTTATCTTCATAACCATGTGAAGAAGGATTAAGAAACTCAGGCTCAGAGAGATTAAGAACACCAGTCATTGAATGGAAAAGCCACACTGATTTTTTTCAGTATTTCTCAGGCCAAACCTAGGACTCATCTCTTGAGCATGCTCAGGTCAGAGAAGAAAAAGGGATGGGAACTGTCTAAGCCTAAGTCTCATGTCCTCATTGGAGTTAGAGGGTAGGGAAAAGGAGAAATTGTTACCTCCAGTTACTAAGGTGAGAGAACCTGCCCCCCACCAAGGCTCACACAATGGGGTACCCCCAAACCAAGGACAGGAGTTCACCTTCTCAGTCACCAGGAACACAGAAAATGTCCATTACACTTACTGTTTTACATTTGTCTGCTACTTATGTTTCTTTTACCCTGTGGCTGTAGACACTTATGTCTTTATTTTCTTGGCACCTTAGCAAGGCATACAATAGGCACTCAATGTTTCTTGAATGGATGCACGCATGCATGAATTTTTGCTCCTTTGAGGGAATAAAAGCCTTTCAGGATAATCTACTGTCCCATGTCCAGAGAAGGGCCTCTAATTGGAGAATGAAATTTGATATAATACAAGTGACCGGATTCCTCCTGATGTCATCTCTGCCCACTCCCTGCTTGTTCCGATAACTGACCCCTAAAAGATGTGAGCTTATTACACAGAAATGTAATATTTGTGATTGTGTTAGTTAGCTTTTCATCATTGTGACCAAAAGACCTGACAGGAACAACTTAGAGGAGGAAAAGTTTATTTTGGCTCAGAGCTTCAGAGGCTCAGTCTATGGTTGGTCAACTCCATTACTCTGGGCCTGAGGTGAAGCAGAAACATCACGGTGGAAAGGCTTGGTGTAGAGGAAAGCTATCCAGCTCTCGACAACAAGGAAGTGAGAACGAGGTGCTAGGGACAAAATCTCAACCCCAAAGTGACCTACTTGCTCCAGCCACACCCCACCGCCCTTCAGTTACCACCCAGTATCGTAGTCCTTGCAAATTTTTAATCCATCAAGTGAATGAATCCACTGATCAGGTTACAGCTCTTATAACCTAAACTTAGTGCTCATCTTTGAAAATTCCTGTATTGTTTCACACATGAGCTTTCAGGGGACATCTTAGATCCAAACCCTAACACTAGTTGATGAAAGACGTCCACTTCAGGCTCCTGTTGTAGCTAGTCCCCAAGAAGCTAGAGAACTAGCTGCCCTTAAGAGGCAAACTCACTCACTGCCAGTGTCCTGCTTGGATTCTTTTGTTTGTTGGGTAGGGTTTTTTGTTGTTGTTGTTTTGTTTTGTCTTTTTGTACTGGGGATTGAATTCAGGGGTACTTAAACACTGAGCCACATCCCCAGCCCTTTTTTATATTTTGTTTAGGGACAGGGTCTCACTGATTTTCTCAAGGTCTTGCTGCTGAGGTTGGCTTTGAACTGGCAATCCCCCTGCCTCAGGCTCCTGAGCTGCTGGGATTGCAGGTGTGCACCCCCATGCCCACCTACTCTTTATCGGTAGTACACAGCCCAGGACTCTGAACACTTGAATTGCCAAACCAGAGCCAACTTCCCACACAGTTGGGCAGGGCTCTGCACAGAGAGGGACCCTATGCTTTGGTTAAAGCTTTCCTGTCACTGTCCTGAAATTCTTAATAATTTTGGAAAAGTATCCTGCATCTTCATTTCTCTCTGGGATTCTCGGTTGATACGGTCTTTCCTGTTCAGAACCATCTAGTCTGGAGTAATCTTGAAAATTCTCGTTGGGCCTCTATGGCCTCCAAGAAAATGTCCCTATTCCTCATGGGACTTGCAAGGCTCTCAGCTTTTCCTCTCAGACATACTGCTGTTGTTGCTGTTTTCCTCATTTACCAAATGGGCCTGGTGTCTCCTGCCACAGGGACTGTTCTTGCTGCTCTTTCTGCATAGAATGCTCCTGGTTCTGATATTGTATGGCTCTGTCCCTCTCTTCAGAGGGAACGTTACCTTCTCAGAAGTACTTTTCTTGGCTACCTTTGACCAACCAGTACTCACCCAGTGGCATGTACCCATGGTCCCAGCTACTCAAGAAGGATCACTTGAGTTCAGGAATTTGAGGCCAGCCTGCTCAACATCCCATCTCAAAAAAAAAAAAAATTATAAACCAATGTGTTCACACACACACACACACACACACACACACACACACAATATACATGCACACCATCACTTTCCATCCTGCTTGCCCTATTTCTTCATAGCACTAGTAACCACCTGGCACATTACACTATTATCAGTCTCCC